AAATAGTTTCTCTAGTGTGAGAAACTGAAAGTGTAAATAAGGATTAAGAGGTATAATAGATAATGTGAAATAGGAAGAAAAGGGAGAAAGGGGAAGGGAAATTGGAAGGGGTAGGGGAAGGAAAGAAGGGAATGGAATTAATATGAGAAAGTGGAAAAATGGAAACAAAGTCTTTGTAAATAGGGAGGGATGGAGGGGTTGAAGAGAGGGCAGGGGAAGGGGAAAAATAAGAACCAAGAGAGATTATGTAAAGGTGCAAATTTCCAATGATGAATGTCATTATATTGTATACCTAAAATGTACCAATAAAATAAAATTTAAAAAAAAATCTGTCCAGTCCTGGGCGCTTCCTTTCTGGGAGACTTTTTATTACTGTTTTGAATTCATTGCTTGTTATTGAACTGCTTGTTTTTTCATGTCCTTTTGATAGGTCATATATGTCTAGAAATTTATCCATTTCTTCTAGATTTTCCAATTCTTTGAAATTAAGTTTACAAAATAGTCCCTAATAATCTTGTGGACTTCAGCAGTATCTGTTGTAATGTCCCCTTTATATCTCTAATTTTATTAATTTAGGTCTTCTGTCTCTTTCTTTTGGTTAGTTTGGCTCAGAGTTTATCAGTGTTGTTTATCTTTTCAAAGAATCAGCTCTTTGACTCATTAGTCCTTTCTATTATGGTTTTTGTAGTCTCTATTTCATTAGTTTCAGCTCTGATATTTATTAATTCTTTCTTTCTACTGATTTGGGGTTTGGTTTGTTCTTATTTTTCTAAGGCCTTGAGTACATCATTAGGTTATTTACTTGAGATCACTCTGGTTTTCTAATGGTTTTCACTCATAGCTATAAACTTTCGCCTTAAAGCTGCCTTTAGTAGAGCCCACATGTTCCAGTATGTTTTGTTGCCATTTTTATTTGATTCTAAGAATTTTCTCAATGACCCACTGATGATTCAAAAACATATTGTTCCATCTCCATGTGTTTGTATAGTTTCTTCTGAGTTCATTTTAGTTTTATTCCATTGTGATCTGATAAGATGTATGGGATTATTTCAATTTTTGTATTTCATAAGACTTGCTTTACAGACTAAAATATGGTCTATTTTGGAGAAAGTTCCATGAGGTGCTAAAAAGAATGTGTATTCTGTTGATGGATGGAATACTCTGGGTATCTGGTAAGTCCATTCAATCTAGAATATAGTTTAACTGTCATGTTTCTTGGGGGTTGTGTCTGTTTGACCTATCTGTGACAAGGTGGTCCTGAAATCATCCACTATAATTGTATCAGGGTCTATTTGCCCCTTTATTCTGAGTAACATTTATTTCACAAATTTTAGTGCACTGATGTTCAGTGTGTATATGTTTACAATCATTACATCTCTTGGTGGGTTGTTCCCTTTACTAAAATGTAATGACCTAAGGATAAAAATCACATGATAGTCTCAATAGGTGCAGAAAAGGCCTTTAACAAAATTCAACATCCTTCCTGATAAAGGTCCCAAAGACTTCAGTATAATAAACAAACCCAAATCAAACCTGAATAAAACTACAAGTTTAATATAAAAAATAAAAATAAAAAACAAACCCACAGGACCAGGGATTTAGCTCAGTGGTTCCGCCACCTGCCTCGCAAGTGCAAGGTCTCGAGTTCGATTTCCGGTACCAAAAAAAAAAAAAAACAAACAGCCCACAGCCAACATCATAATGAATGGAGAAAGCTGAAAAGCCTTTCCTTTAAAATATGGAGCCAGACAAAGATGTCCACATTCACCATTTTTGGTCAATATAGTACTTGAATTTTTAGCTAACCAGTTATTCAAGAGAAAGAAATAAAAGGGATACAAATAGGGAAATAAGAAGTCAAACCAGTCCTATTTGTGGATAATGTGATCCTTTACCTACAAGACCCTAAAAACTCTTTTAGATCTGTTAAGCAAATTCAGCAAAGTGGCAGGATACAAAAATCATTGTATAAAAATCAGTAGCTTTCCTATACACTATCAACAAACCTACTGAGAAATAAATTTTTTTAAATTCCATTCACAATAGCTTCAAAAAATTAAATATCTAGGAAACAACTTAACCAAGGGGGTGAAGGACCTCTGAAATGAAAATTACAAAACATTCAAGAAAGAAATTGAAGGCACTAGAAAAATAGAAAGACCTTCCCATATTCACGGATCAGCACAATTAATATTGTTAAATGGCCATATTACTAAAAGCAATCTACAGATTCAATGCAGTCTCTATCAAGTACTAATGGCATTCTTCACAGAACTAGAAAACACAATGCAAAAATTCATATGGAAATAAAAAAGATCCAAAATAAACAAAGCATTTCTGAGCAAAAAGAACAATGCTGGAGGTATCACAATACCTGACTTCAAAACATACTATACAACAATAGCAAAAAAACCCAAAGAAACATCATGGTACTAGCATAAAAACAGACACACAGAAATAATTCATGTAAGCATCACCATCTGATTTTTTAAAAAGAGGCTAAAACCATGCATTGGAGAAAAGACAACATAGCCTCTACAAAATACAAAAACAAAAAACAAAAACAAAAAGCAAATTATAAAAAAGAAAGATACTTGTGGCCCACAAGGTAAAGTATTACTATCTTTAATACAAAGAGAGCTCACATTAATCACTAATAAAGACCAACCCACAGTAGGAAAATGAAACATATGAACAGAAAACTCACAGATGAAAAAGACATAAGCCTAATACGCTTAAGAATAAATGTTAGTATCATTATTGGAGAAATATGAATTAAAATCACAATGGAATATTATTCTGTACATTAAATGGACAGGATTTTAAAAGATGGTATTCTGTGTTGGATACTTGGAAATGAACAATGAACATTTACCTGTTAAGTGCTATTGGAGAAATGTACAGATACAACTTCCTGGTGGGTAATTTGGTAATATTCAATAAGAGCCCCAAGAACACAGATGACTTTGACTCGGTGATCCCATTTCACTCTTGCTTTTTTTGGTAGTACTGGAGATTGCCTTACAGAGTAGCCACTGAGCAAGAGATTAGTGAGGTATAATCTTCCACATGACACTAGCTATCACTGTGGTAACAATCAGCAAGGGCTTATTTCTGGTTAGGTCTTATTTTGCGAGAAACACAGTATAAAATGAAAGGCCAATCTGAAAAGGCTACATACTGTGTTCTACAACTGTAGAACACTGTAGAAAAAGACACTGCTATAGAGACAACAGAAATACCAGTGGCTGTCAGGAGGAAATGGGGAGGAAAGGATGAATAGGTAGGGTGCTGAGCTTTGTTTTTTTTCCAGTACTGGGGATCAAACTCAGGACCCTGTGCTTGCCAGGCAGGTGCCAGCACCACTGAGCTAAATCCTCTACCCCAGGGTGCTGTTTTTTAAGGGAGTGAAACTACTATATTCTGTATGATACTCTAATGATGGGTCCATGTCTTCCTATACATTTGTTCCAACCTATAGAATATACAACACCACAAGTGAATTCTGATGTAAGCTGTGGACTCGGATATATGTGTCACATGGGCTTCAGATATCAATATTAACTCATCAATCATAATAAATATACCACACTAATATGAGATGCTAATAACAGGGAAAACTGGAGGGAGGAGGGAGATGATGTTGGAGCCCTTGTGTGCTTCCTGCTCAAATGTTCTGTTAACCTAAAACTTTTCAAAGAAAATAAAATCTAGTAATTTTTTTCACTGAATGAAATCAGTACCCTCTCTAACATAGCAGTTAAGTTCGTGGATCCTAAAATCACAATGCCTGGGTTCAAATTCTGACCCATCTACTTTATTTTTTTATTTTTATTTTTTATGAGTACATGTTTGCAGGACCTAGTGACCATATTTAGGGTGGGGAGTTGGTGCATGCACTTAGTACATCTCAACCCTTTCTTTTTCATCCCCTATTCTCTACCCCTGCACCTTCCAAATCATGGTGCCCTTCCCATTTGTAAAACCTCTATTTTCATTTTTTTCCTTCTTCTATCCCCTTTCCCTTCCCTTTGGGTTTGGCTCCTCCTCCCTCTGTCTCTTTTTTAACACATGCATTTGAAAAAGATCTCCCTATTTCCTATTTCTCTATTATACACACACACACACACACACACACACACACACACACACAGAGGTGAGAGAGAAAGAGGGAGGGAAGGGAAGAGAGTTTCTCATACAAGACAAACCATGCAATATTTAAGTTCATATTCCTGATATTTCATTTTAATATTATGATCCCAAGGTACATCCATTTACTTATGAATGCTTCAAGTTTATGTTTTTTATAGCAGAATAGTACTCCATTGTGTGTAAATACCACATTTTCTTTATTCGTTCATCCATAGATTTAGCTATTGTAAATTGTAAATATGGGTGTTCATGCATTCTGTAATACAATGGCTTTCACTGTTTCAGGAAGATACCTAGAGGGGAAATAGCTGGGTTGGACAGAATTTCTATTTTTAGTTTTTTGAGGACTCTCCACACTGATTTCCATAGTGGTTTACATAGTTTACATTCCCACCAACAATATAGAAAGTTTCCTTTTTCCCCACATTCTCCCCAGCATTTGTTATTATTTGATTACTTGATGATAGCCTTTCTTTCTGGAGTAAGATGGTATCTCAGTGTTGTTTTAATTTGTATTTCTCTAATAGTCAACAATGTTGAACATTTTTTCATGTATTTATTGGCCATTTGTACTTCTTCTGAGAAGTATCTATTGAGAAGTATCAGTTGTCCATTTTTTGACTGCCTGACCCATTCACTTTAGAACCCTATAACTTTTAGCCAAATGGCTTAATTAATCTATGTCTCAGCTTCTCCATATAGAATACAGGAATAATAATATAACCTAACTCATGGAATTATTATGAGGATTAAACATCACACAAAATCTTTGGACAGACCTTGGTATGTATTAGGTATTGAAAAGTGATATCTACTGTTAGTGTTTTTATTTGCTAATGAACACTCACGTGAAGAAGAAGGTCTGAAGATATTTTGGAAACCATTCTTTGAATATACTCTGCATGGTGAAGAATGGGGTCTTGAACATGTGAATTTTCGGGTGTGAGGATACAAAGCATGCCCACCTGGTATGTTCATCATTTTGTTCATTAAATTCCTATGATACAAAAGAAAACAGATTACATTATCTTAAAGCACACACAACATGTGGCCAATTTCCCATCCCTTCCTTTTCTGAGAGGACAGTTGGAGAGATAAAAATGCTGCTGGTTGTAGCTGTTGGCCAAGGTTTCAAAGACTATTCTTAACGTGAACACAAAATTGTTATTTTGGACTCTTTGCTTTTAGCAGATCCAAAAAACTTCAAAAATAGGAAAATGTCATTTATACTACTAGTTTCTCTTAGATCATTGAAAAGAAAGTTTTGTGCTAATATCTCTTCTTTGTGAGAAGCTTTTTAGTTGAAGTCTTGTACTATTGAGTAATACTTTGAAGATAACAATACACAGTGTATTAACTATTGTTATTCTCTTATTATTTTGTTATAAAATAATTTTGTTTTATTTTTTCATAAAATAAAAAAGGAGATAAACCAGGAAAATAAAGAGGCTTTGGGGTAGGATGACCACTGACTGACTTCTCCGTGGGCAGCAAGGGGTGGACAGTGCAGGTCCTGTGAGTGCTCATGAAGTTCTTCACTATAAACAGAGACATGGTCAGAGACATGGCTGAAACAACAGTAGCAAATTGTGACATGGGGGCCTCTGCAATCTCTCTCCTCCATCAGATCAATGAGAATTCTGCAAAAACTGCTAAGATCCCTGGAAATTTAACTAAAAGACTGGCAGAAATCTGGGTAGCATTTATTCGGGAAAAATGGCCAAATTTCAGTATGATCAAAAAGTTTTGCATCATTTTCATCTGCCGCATTCCCACTCCACCCACAACTCAAGAGGCTAGTTGCCTTGAAAACAGGAGCTGCAGATGACAGTCACAGGAGAGGACAGAACTGAGTTGAAGCTCCCTCAAAGCCTCATTACCAGAAAATTGTCATTATCTGACCCCATGTTCCCATGAAAGATCCCATCAGAAAGCTGTCTTTATTGAGCTGGTTCAGAACTTACCCAATGAGAACAGGTTACAGGAAAGAAGCATTCAATTGGGGGAAAAAAATGTAGAGGCATCTACAGTTTAAAATTGCAGCTGCCTGAATAGTTGGATAATAGGGCAAGTAATCAGCCAAAAGGCTTAAATTAAAAAAAAGCTGATGAATGAGATGTCCATCACAGCTTTGAAAGGCTCCCACAAATTCCTGGGAACCTAGAAGGCCACCCATATGCACAGGGCTGTGAGCATTCCCAGGGCTCTGTGCATGCTCAGACCTGAGAAGGAAAGACCCAATGAGGCCCCAAACTCTCCTCCCTGGCTAATCTTGATAGTCCTCACAAGCAGGAAGTGGAGGCTAAGGTAGAGTTGTAAACAGAGTAATACAGAGCAACTTGGCAAAATTTGGAAAACTTGCTCTTGCCAGACATTTAGAGGATGTCTGATCATGAACTGACCACTGAGCTAACAAATCAGAGACTTTGTGGCCACACATAATGAAGAATATAGACTTTTAAATGTTAGTTTAGAAAAGTCACTAAATAAGTGAACAATGAACAGCAAAAACATGGGAAGGAGTGAGAATATGATTTCAATAGTTGCCACATATTATTTAAAATGTCAAGTTTTCAACAAAAAATTATAAGACTTGCAAAGAAACAAAGTATGGCCCATAAATACTTAACTCCAGGAACTATGGAAGCAATAAAAGAGTGCAGTGAGACATTTTTAAAGTGTTGGAAGAAAAAACCCTACCAACCCAGAATTCTAGAAAATTTATCAAGAAAAATTTATCCTTGAAATGTAAAGGAGAAATAAAGGCTGTTTTGGTCAAGTAAAATTTCAGAGTTTGTCACCAGCAGACCTGCTTCCCCAAAAATTGTTAAAATAAATTATTCAGAAAGAAAGGAAAATGATATGGGTGAGATACTTAGTTCTGTATAAAGAAAGGAAGAGGGCCGGGGATTTAGCTCGGTGGTTTCACCGCCTGCTGCTCAAGCGCAAGGACCCGAGTTTGATCCCTGGTACCAAAACAAAACAAAACAAAACAAAAGAAAGGAAGAGCATTCAAGAAAGAATACGTGAAGGTAAAGTGAACACATATATACCTAAGAGGAGAGCCCAAATATATACAAAGCAGAAATTCATAAAAATTGAAAGGAGAAACAGACTTTTCAACAATAAGAGTTGGACACTTCCATATCCATGTTTAATAATGGGTAGAATATCTAGAAAATGATAATGAAGAAAGTAGAAAACTTGAATAACACTAAAAAACAAGTAGGCCAAACAGACATCTGAAGATCACATCCACCAGTCAGGAGAGCCACACATTCTCCTCAAATACACAGAACCTTCTCCAGGGCGGATATGTGTCAGGACATAAAACAAGCTCTTGTAAAGTTAAAAGGATTTGAATCACCAAAATATGTTCACAAACCACAATGGAATGAAATTAGAAATTAATAACAGAAGGAAATTGGATAATTCACAAGTATGTGGAAATTAAACAATGTAGTCCTAAATAATCAATGGGTTAAAGAAAAAAATCACAAAAGTTAGCAAATACTTTGATGAAAAGGAAGGGATAGTATAATAAAACTTATGGGATACAGCTAATGCAACACACAGAAATTGATAGATGTATATGTCTACATTTTACAAGAAAATCTCAAATTAATAGACTGAGCTTCTTTCTTTAAGAAACTAGAAAACTAAAAGTAAACTAAACCCAAAATGAGAAGAGTGAAAGAAATAAGATTAGAAAAGAAATAAATAAAATTGAGAACAGAAAAAACAACATAGAAAACCAACAAAACAAAAGTTAGTTGTTTTAAAATATTAGTAAAATAAAAATTTTTTTAAAATATTAGCAAAATTGACAGATTTTTAGTTAGATGGGACAAGAAAAAATGAGAACACTCGAATTATTACAGAAATAAAGAGGATATTGTCTGATATTGTAGAAGTAAGGAGGACTATAAGGGAGTTCTTTAAACATTTACGTGCAAACAACTTTGGTAACTCAGATGAAACAGAAAAATTCTTACAAAGACACAGGTTATTTAAAGTGACTAAAAAAGAAGCAGAAAGTCTGGATAGAACTATGACAAATAAAGAGATTGAATGAATACAAGAAATTTCCTGCAAAAAAAGAGTCTAGGATCAGATGGGTTCACTAGAGTATTCTACCAAATATTTAAGCAATTATTAAAACCAATGCATTACAAACTCTTCCATACAATAGAAGAGTATGATGCTGGAGGTGTAGCTCAGTGATAGAGTGCTTGCCCTAAGTTATTCAAGCTCAAGCACCACACACACACACACACGTGCGCGTGTGCATGCACACATGCACACACACACACAGGGAGAGGGAGAGGGCAAGAGAGAGAGAGAGAGAATGTGAATAGGTAGCACTTCCCAAGACTTCTTTTCCTCATAAGGCCCGCATTATTCTGATACCAAAACCAGACAATGCTATTCAGAAGAAATGAAAGCCAAAAACTAATATACTGCATGAATATAAGGAAATTTTTCAACAAAATACTAGTCAGCTGAATCCAGCCACATACCAAAAAAACACACACAGCATGACCAAGTGGGATTGATCCCAAGAATGCAAAGGTGGTTGAATATACAAAACTCAGTATATTAGTAGTATAATCAGGCAAAGAACACAGGATTATCTCAATAAATGCTGAAAAAGCACTTCACAAATCTTATATCCTTTTGTAGTAAAACAACAACAAACACTCAACAAAGTAAGGAATAAGAGGCATTTTTTGGACCTAACAAAATGCATCCAAGAAAAACCCACAGATGGCAAATAACCATACTTGATGAGAGATCAAAAGTGTCACCCTTTATGATCAGGAACCAGGAGAACAATATATACAGCACTACATGGTGCTCCACACCTGGAATCTTAGTACTCCAGGAGGCTGAGGCAGGAGGATCAAAAGTTTGAGGCTAGCCTGGATGACTTAGAGAGACCCTGTCTCAAAATAAAAAATAAAAAAGAGCTAGGGATGTAGCTTGGTGTGACAGCCCTGGGTTCAATCCCTAGTACTGAAAAGAAAAAGAAAGAAGAAAGAAAGAATATCTGCTCTCACCACTTCAATTCAACATTGTACTGAAGGTTCTAGCCAGAATACTTAGACAAGAAAAAGAAAAAAAAATCCATTGGCATCTAAGAAGGAAAATTACCTCTACTTGTAATACTATTGTGCATATAGAAAATCCTAAGGAATCCAGACGTACACACAATCAGAATGACTAAACAGGCCTAGTGATGTTTTGGGACAGAAGATCAATATACAAAATCAATTGTATTTTGATATACTTATAATGAACAGTCTGAAAATAAAATTAAGAAAGCAAATCCATTGACAATACCATCAAAAATAATAAAACATGGGAATAGATTCAACAAAAGGGAGTACAAGTTTTGTACACTAGAAACCACAAAATATTGTAGAAAAATAAGACCTGAATGAATGGAAAGCTATCTCATGTTCATGGATAGGACGGCACTGCTCCCAGATTGCTGCCTTTCTTGTAGAAATTGACACAGTGATTATACAGCTCCTGTGGAGATTCAAAGAATGCAGCAGACCCAAAACAATCTTGAAAAACAAGAAGAAAATTGGAGGACTTTTACTTCCTGATTTGGGAACTTCCTACAATGCAACGGTGAACTGACATAATGACAGGCAGAGATGAATGGACCAGAATTGAGAGTCTAGATATAAACCCTTACACTTCTCATGAACTAATATTTGACAAGAAGGCTAAGACCATTTTTCAATAAATGGGGCTGAAATAACTGGATAGGCAAGTGATAAGCAAAAACTACAGTAAGTGTTTAAATTTTTAAAAAATTATCAGAGCAAAAGACACATTGCCATTAATACCACTGAGTGTCCTCCCTTCATTTCAAACACACTCATCCCATCATTCTTGCCACTTTCTGAAGCAAGTCTGGAAGTGCTCTTTCGTGAGTGTCTTTCTGAGGTATGATCACAAATTCTGTGAATGCTACTGCTGAGT